TCGCGCAAGAGCGTGCGTGGTGACGTCGTCGCGCAAATGTCTGCGTGGTGACGTCTTTGCGCGCATGAGCGTGCGTGGTGATGTCTTGCAAGAAGCCTTGGCGTGGTGACGTCGTCGCGCAAGAGCGTGCGTGGTGACGTCGTCGCGCAAATGTCTGCGTGGTGACGTCTTTGCGCGCATGAGCGTGCGTGGTGACGTCTTGCAAGAAGCCTTGGCGTGGTGACGTCACCGCGCAAGATGCGTGATGACGTAATAAATAAATCGATAATAATTCTACTAAAGACGGTCGCCTGCTGTCGTTGCGATAGAAACATCGTGATCTACAGTATTGTTCATAGTTCATAGTTACATTTAATTTGGTATAGCCCTGTGAGCCATCCGGCTCTTGAATCGGGTGCAACCACAACAAAGTAAACTAAACTAAAACACGAACAATAAAAATACATCTTAAAGTGACTCCTCTGTGTGTGACTGTGCACACAGAAAATCCAGGGGGAAAATAAACATCAAAATATTCCTCAAATAGCACCGTTACACCACCAACTCTGTGTGTAAATATCCCAGTGGGATGCAAGTCAAGATAACAACAACAACCACAAGACAACTTAGATTAAGGCCATCAGTCTAACTCCGTACTACAACAACAACCACAAGACAACTTAGATTAAGGCCATCAGTCTAACTCCGTACTACAACAACAACAACCACAAGACAACTTTAGATTAAGGCCATCAGTCTAACTCCGTACTACAACAACAACCACAAGACAACTTTACATTAAGGCCATCAGTCTAACTCCGTACTACAACAACAACAAGACAACTTAGATTAAGGCCATCAGTCTAACTCCGTACTACAACAACAACCACAAGACAACTTTAGATTAAGGCCATCAGTCTAACTCCATTACTACAACAACAACCACAAGACAACTTTAGATTAAGGCCATCAGTCTAAACTCTGTACTACAACAACCACAAGACAACTTTAGATTAAGGCCATCAGTCTAAACTCCGTACTACAACAACAAGACAACTTAGATTAAGGCCATCAGTCTAACTCCTTACTACAACAACAACAACCACCACAAGACAACTTTAGATTAAGGCCATCAGTCTAAACTCCGTACTACAACAACAACCACAAGACAACTTTAGATTAAGGCCATCAGTCTAACTCCGTACCACAACAACAACAACCACAAGACAACTTTAGATTAAGGCCATCAGTCTAACTCCGTACTACAACAACAACAACCACAAGACAACTTTAGATTAAGGCCATCAGTCTAACTCCGTACTACAACAACAACCACAAGACAACTTTAGATTAAGGCCATCAGTCTAACTCCGTACTACAACAACCACAAGACAACTTTAGATTAAGGCCATCAGTCTAACTCCGTACTACAACAACAACCACAAGACAACTTTAGATTAAGGCCATCAGTCTAACTCTGTACTACAACAACAACAAGACAACTTTAGATTAAGGCCATCAGTCTAACTCCGTACTACAACAACAACCACAAGACAACTTTAGATTAAGGCCATCAGTCTAACTCCGTACTACAACAACACAAACCAAAACAACTTTTAGAAATCACCAAAAACTAAAGCCGTAATTGCAACTTAACTAGTTCATCACAGGGACTGTGACCGAATTTTCACAATAAACTACATAAACAACACCAAATCCTACAGCCATAGCGTGATGATGTAATAAATAAAGCAATCGATAATAATTCACCTGAAGGCGATCTATAGTATTGATTATTTTGTCTCCAGCTACGAGTGTCGATTGATGCGGTCACGAAAGATTCAAAATCAACGCTGGTGACGTCACGAGGCGCGGTGACGTCACGCATACACCAAACACAAGCGGGACGACGTCATCGACTACTCGCCAACCACAGCGTGGGGACGTTATGACGTCATGCCAGCGCGGTGACGTCATCACGTCAATGTCCGCTCCCCACTGGCGCTGCGTCGCCTCCGCCTCGCAACCCCAGCGTGGCGACGTCACCACGTCAAGCCAGCGCGGTGACGTCACCACGTTAATGTCCGCTCCCCACTGTCGCTGCCGCTGCGTCGCCTCCTCGTCCTCGCCACCTCAGCGTGGTAACGTCACCACGTCAATGTCCGCTCCACTGTCACTGGCGCTGCCGCTGCGTCGCCTCCTCCTCGCCACCCCAGCGTGGTGACGTCGCCACGTCAATGTCCGCTCCACTGTCACTGGCGCTGCGTCGCCTCCTTCCTCCTCGCCACCCCGCGTGGTGACGTCATCACGTAAAGCCTGCGTGGTGACGTCACCACGTCAAGCCAGCGTGGTAACGTCACCACGTCAATGTCCGCTCCACTGTCACTGGCGCTGCCGCTGCGTCGCCTCCTTCCTCGTCGCTACCCCAGCGTGGTGACGTCACTATACCAAGCCAGCGTGGTGACGTCACCACGCCAATGTCCGCTCCACTGTCACTGGCGCTGCCGCTGCGACGCCTCCTCCTCGCTACCCAGCGTGGTGACGTCACCACGTCAAAGCCAGCGTGGTGACGTCACCACGTCAAAGCCAGCGTAGTGACGTCACCACGTCAATGTCCGCTCCACTGTCACTGGCGCTGCAGCTGCGTCGCCTCCTCGCCACCCCAGCGTGGTGACGTCACCACGTCAAGCCAGCGTGGTAACGTCACCACGTCAATGTCCGCTCCACTGTCGCTGGCGCTGCGTCGCCTCCTCCTCCTCGCCACCCCAGCGTGATGACGTCACCACATCAAATCAGCGCGGTTACGTCACCACGTCAATATCCGCTCCACTGTCACTGCCGCTGCGTCGCTTTCTTCCTCCTCGCCACCCCAGCGTGGTGACGTCACTACGTCAAGTCAGCGTGGTGACGTCACCACGTGAAGCCAGTGTGGTGACGTCACCACGTCAATGTCCGCTCCACTGTCACTGGCGCTGCCGCTGCGTCGCCTCCTTCCTCCTCGCCACCCCAGCGTGGTGACGTCACTACGTCAAGCCAGCGTGGTGGTGTCACCACGTAAAACCAGCGTGGTGACGTCACCACGTCAATGTCCGCTCCACTGTCACTGGCGCTGCAGCTGCGTCGCCTCCTCGCTCGCAGAGAATCAGCGGCGGCCGCAGAGGAAGAGGTGGAGGAGGTGTAGAGGAGGTGGTGGTGGTGTAGTGGTGGTGTAGTGGTGGTGGTGTAGTGGTGGTGGTGTAGTGGTGGTGGTGTAGTGGTGGTGTAGTGGTGGTGTAGTGGTGGTGGTGGTGTAGTGGTGGTGGTGGTGGTGTAGTGGTGGTAGTGTAGTGGTGGTGGTGGTAGTGGTGGTGGTGGTGTAGTGGTGGTGGTAGTGTAGTGGTGGTGGTGGTGTAGAGGTGGTGGTGGTGTAGTGGTGGTGGTAGTGGTGGTGGTGTAGTGGTGGTGTAGTGGTGGTGGTAGTGGTGGTGGTGTAGTGGTGGTGTAGAGGAGGTGGTGGTGTAGTGGTGGTGGTGTAGAGGTGGTGGTGTAGTGGTGGTGTAGTGGTGGTGGTGTAGTGGTGGTGTAGTGGTGGTGTAGTGGTGGTGGTGTAGTGGTGGTGGTGGTGGTAGTGGTGGTGGTGGTGTAGTGGTGGTGGTGGTGTAGAGGTGGTGGTGGTGTAGTGGTGGTGGTGTAGTGGTGGTGTAGTGGTGGTGGTGTAGTGGTGGTGTAGTGGTGGTGTAGTGGTGGTGGTGTAGTGGTGGTGGTGGTGGTAGTGGTGGTGGTGGTGGTAGTGGTGGTGGTGGTGTAGTGGTGGTGGTGTAGTGGTGGTGGTGTAGTGGTGGTGGTGTAGTGGTGGTGTAGTGGTGGTGTAGTGGTGGTGGTGTAGTGGTGGTGGTGGTGGTAGTGGTGGTGGTGGTGGTAGTGGTGGTGGTGGTGTAGTGGTGGTGGTGGTGTAGAGGTGGTGGTGGTGTAGTGGTGGTGGTGTAGTGGTGGTGTAGAGGAGGTGGTGGTGTAGTGGTGGTGGTGTAGAGGTGGTGGTGTAGTGGTGGTGTAGTGGTGGTGGTGTAGTGGTGGTGTAGTGGTGGTGTAGTGGTGGTGGTGTAGTGGTGGTGGTGTAGTGGTGGTGGTGTAGTGGTGGTGGTGGTGTAGTGGTGGTGGTGTAGAGGTGGTGGTGGTGTAGTGGTGGTGGTGTGGTGGTGGTGGTGGTGTAGTGGTGGTGGTGTAGTGGTGGTGGTGGTGTAGTGGTGGTGGTGTAGTGGTGGTGGTGTAGTGGTGGTGGTGTAGTGGTGGTGGTGGTGTAGTGGTGGTAGTGTAGTGGTGGTGGTGTAGTGGTGGTGGTGTAGTGGTGGTGGTGTAGTGGTGGTGGTGGTGTAGTGGTGGTGGTGTAGAGGTGGTGGTGTAGAGGTGGTGGTGGTGTAGTGGTGGTGGTGTAGTGGTGGTGGTGTAGTGGTGGTGGTGGTGTAGTGGTGGTGGTGTGGTGGTGGTGGTGTGGTGGTGGTGGTGGTGGTCTTCCGCTAGTTTTGTGTTGTTGTTGTGTTGTCGTGTTGTTGTTGTTGTGTTGTTCTTGTGTTGTTGTTTTTGTGTTGTTATGTTGTTGTGTTGTTGATGTGTTGTGTTGTTATGTTGTTGATGTGTTGTTGTGTTGTGTTGTTGGTGGTGTTGTGATGTGTTGTTGTTGTGTTGATGTTGTGTTGTTGTGTTGTTGTTGTGTTGTTGATGTGTTATTGTTGTTGTGTGTTGTGTTGTTGTGTTGATGGTGTGTTGTTGTTGTGTTGTTGTGTTGTTGTTGATATGTTGTTGTGTTGTTGGTGTGTTGTTGTTATTGATGTTGTTGATGTTGATGTTGTTATTGATGTAATGTTGTTGATGTTGTGATGTTGTTGTTGATGTTGTTGTGTTGTTGTTGTGTTGATGTTGTTGTGTTGATGTGTTGATGTGTTGTGTTGTTGATGGTGATGTTGTTGTGTTAATGTGTTGATGGTGATGTTGTGTTGATGTGTTGTGTTGTTGATGGTGATGATGTGTTCTTGATGTTGTTGATGTTGTTGATGGTGATGATGTTGTTATTGATGTGTTGTTGTTGATGTGTTATTGATGTGTTGTTGTTATTGTTGTTGTTGATGTTGTTGTTGTTGAGGCTGCCCATGAGTGTGACTCTAGTAGCGCTGCGCCTTGAGCTCAGCCCGGACTCAAGCTTCCCCTCCCACTTCCATCGCTGCCACTGTAAGTACAGTGTATACAGTAGGCACAGTGTGTACAGTAGGTACAGTGCATACAGTGGGCACAGTGTATACAGTGGGCACAGTGTACAGCAGGCACAATGTGCACAGTGTAAAATAGTGTGTACAGTAGACACTGTACATTGGGAGCAGTGTGTACAGTAGGTACAGTGTAAAAATGGTGTATACAGTATACACCGTGAACACTACATTGTGCACAATGTGTACACACTGTACTGTACACACTGTACACACTGTCTACCCCCCCCGTGTCTCTCCCCGTGTCTCCCCCCGTGTCTCTCTCCCGTGTCTCCCCCCCGTGTCTCTCCCCCCATGTCTCTCTCTCCCCGTGTCTCCCCCCCGTGTCTCTCCCCCCATGTCTCTCTCTCCCCGTGTCTCTCCCCCGTGTCTCTCCCCGTGTCTCCCCGTGTCTCTCTCTCCCCGTGTCTCTCCCCCGTGTCTCCCCGTGTCTCTCCCCGTGTCTCCCCCCATGTCTCTCTCTCCCCGTGTCTCTCCCCCGTGTCTCTCCCCGTGTCTCTCCCCGTGTCTCCCCAGGCGAACCCAGCGTGGCTGACGCTGGGATGTCTTCGGCTGACTCCGCCAAGGAGCTGAGGGCGGAGATTCAGAGGAGTCTTGGCAGCAGGGAGATGCACAACATCAGCATTGAGACTGTCACCTTCAACCATGGTACTATCACTAACTAGTACTATCACTAACTAGTACTATCACTAACTATCACTAACTAGTACCATCACTAACTAGTACTAATCACTAACTATCACTAACTAGTACCATCACTAACTATCACTAACTAGCACTATCACTAACTAGTACTATCACTAACTAGTACTATCACTAACTATCACTAACTAGTACTATCACTAACTAGTACTATCACTAACTAGTACTATCACTAACTACCACTATCACTAACTAGTGCTATCGCTAACTAGTGCTGTCACTAGCTATCACTATCACTAACTATCACTAACTAGTACTATCACTAACTACCACTATCACTAACTAGTACTATCACTATCACAAACTAGTACTATCACTAACTATCACTAACTAGTACTATCACTAACTATCACTAACTAGTACTATCACTAACTACTACTATCACTAACTAGTACTATCACTAACTAGTACTATCACTAACTAGTACTATCACTAACTATCACTATCACTAACTATCACTAACTAGTACTATCAATAACTATCATTACCTATCACTAACTACCACTATCACTAACTATCATTAACTATCACTTACCATCACTATCACTAACTAGTACTATCACTAACTATCATTAACTAGTACTATCACTAACTAGTACTATCACTAACTAGTACTATCACTAACTAGTACTATCACTAACTATCACTAACTAGTACCATCACTAACTAGTACTAATCACTAACTATCACTAACTAGTACCATCACTAACTATCACTAACTAGCACTATCACTAACTAGTACTATCACTAACTAGTACTATCACTGACTATCACTAACTAGTACTATCACTAACTAGTACTATCACTAACTAGTACTATCACTAACTACCACTATCACTAACTAGTGCTATCGCTAACTAGTGCTGTCACTAGCTATCACTATCACTAACTATCACTAACTAGTACTATCACTAACTACCACTATCACTAACTAGTACTATCACTATCACAAACTAGTACTATCACTAACTATCACTAACTAGTACTATCACTATCACTAACTAGTACTATCACTAACTACTACTATCACTAACTAGTACTATCACTAACTAGTACTATCACTAACTATCACTATCACTAACTATCACTAACTAATACTATCAATAACTATCATTACCTATCACTAACTACCACTATCACTAACTATCATTAACTATCACTTACTATCACTATCACTAACTAGTACTATCACTAACTATCATTAACTATCACTTACTATCACTATCACTAACTAGTACTATCACTAACTATCATTAACTATCACTTACTATCACTATCACTAACTACCACTATCACTAACTAGTACTATCACTAACTATCACTATCACTAACTATCACTAACTATCACAATCACTAACTAGTAATATCACTAACTATCACTAACTACCACTATCACTAACTAGTACTATCACTAACTAGTACTATCACTAACTACCACTAACTACCACTATCACTAACTAGTACTATCACAAACTATCATTAACCATCACTATCACTAACTATCACTATCACTAACTATCACTCTCACTAACTAATACTCTCACTAACTAGTACTATCACTAACTATCACTATCACTAACTATCACTAACTAGTACTATCAATAACTATCATTACCTATCACTAACTACCACTATCACTAACTAGTACTATCACTTACTATCACTAACTAGTACTATCACTAACTAGTACTATCACTAACTAGTACTATCACTATCACTAACTAGTACTATCACTAACTATCTCTATCACTAACTATCACTAACTATTACTATCACTAACTACCACTATCACTATTAAACTAGTACCACCTCTACCACCACTGCCACCACCACAACCACCACAACCACCACCACAACCACCACCGCCACCGCCATCACCACCGCCACTACCACCACAACCACCACCACCAGCATCACCACCACCATCACCACCACAACCACCACCACCATCACCAGCACCACTACCGCCACCACCACTACCATCACCACCACCACCATCACCACCATCACCACCACCATCACCATCACCACCACCATCACCACCATCACCACTACCATCACCACCACCACCATCACCACCATCACCACCACCACCATCACCACCACCATCACCATCACCACCATCACCACCACCATCACCATCATCACCACCATCACCACCACCACCACCATCACCACCACCATCACCACCACCATCACCACCATCACCACCATCACCACCACCACCACAACCACCATCACCACCACCACCACCACCATCACCACCATCACCACCACCATCACCATCATCACCACCATCACCACCACCACCACCATCACCACCACCATCACCACCACCATCACCACCATCACCACCATCACCACCACCACCACAACCACCATCACCACCACCACCACCACCATCACCACCATCACCACCACCATCACCATCATCACCACCATCACCACCACCACCACCATCACCACCACCATCACCACCACCATCACCACCACAACCACCACCACCACCACCACCATCACCACCACCATCACCACCACCATGGCCGCTGGTTAAGGGTTTCCACGTCCACGAAGCTTTTTGCCAATTGTGTACTTGGACTCACCGCTTTGGCGGAACGTCGGACGATGGCAGACAGACAGACACCACAGACAGACACCACAGACAGACAGAAAGACACCACAGACAGACACCACAGACAGACAGACACCACAGACAGACAGACAGACACCACAGACAGACAGACACCACAGACAGACAGACAGACAGACACCACAGACAGACACCACAGACAGACACCACAGACAGACACCACAGACAGACAGACACCACAGACAGACAGACAGACACCACAGACAGACAGACAGACACCACAGACAGACACCACAGACAGACACCACAGACAGACAGAAAGACACCACAGACAGACACCACAGACAGACAGACACCACAGACAGACAGACAGACACCACAGACAGACAGACACCACAGACAGACAGACAGACAGACACCACAGACAGACACCACAGACAGACACCACAGACAGACACCACAGACAGACAGACACCACAGACAGACAGACAGACACCACAGACAGACAGACAGACACCACAGACAGACACCACAGACAGACAGACAGACACCACAGACAGACAGACAGACACCACAGACACCACAGATAGACAGACAGACACCACAGACAGACAGACACCACAGACAGACACCACAGACAGACACCACAGACAGACAGACACCACAGACAGACACCACAGACAGACACCACAGACAGACAGACACCACAGACAGACACCACAGACAGACAGACACCACAGACACCACAAACACCACAAACACCACAGAGACCACAAACACCACAGACACCACAAACACCACAAACACCACAGACACCACAAACACCACAAACACCACAAACACCACAGACACCACAAACACCACAGACACCACAGACACCACAAACACCACAGACACCACAGACACCACAGACACCACAGACACCACAAACACCACAGACACCACACACACCACAAACACCACAGACACCACAGACACCACAGACACCACAGACAAACACCACAAACACCACAGACACCACAAACACCACAGACACCACAAACACCACAGACACCACAGACACCACAGACACCACAAACACCACAGACACCACAGACACCACAGACACCACAAACACCACAGACACCAGAAACACCAGAAACACCACAGACACCACAAACACCACAGACACCACAGACACCACAGACACCACACACACCACAGACACCACAGACACCACAGACACCACAAACACCACAGAGACCACAAACACCACAGACACCACAGACACCACAGACACCACAGACACCACACACACCACAAACACCACAGACACCACAAACACCACAGACACCACAGACACCACAGACACCACAGACACCACAAACACCACAAACACCACAGACACCACAGACACCACAAACACCACAAACACCACAGACACCACAGACACCACAGACACCACAAACACCACAGACACCACAGACACCACAGACACCACAAACACCACAGACACCACAAACACCACAGACACCACAGACACCACAAACACCACAGACACCACAAACACCACAAACACCACAGACACCACAAACACCACAGACACCACACACACCACACACACCACAAACACCACAGACACCACAGACACCACAGACACCACACACACCACAGACACCACAGACACCACAGACACCACAGACACCACAGACACCACACACACCACAGACACCACAGACACCACAAACACCACAGACACCACACACACCACAAACACCACAGACACCACACACACCACAAACACCACACACACCACAAACACCACAGACACCACAGACACCACACACACCACAGACACCACAGACACCACAGACACCACAGACACCACAGACACCACACACACCACAAACACCACAAACACCACAGACACCACACACACCACAAACACCACAAACACCACAGACACCACAGACACCACAGACACCACAGACACCACAGACACCACACACAGACACCACAGACACCACAGACACCACAGACACCACAAACACCACAGACACCACAGACACCACAGACACCACAAACACCACAGACACCACAAACACCACAGACACCACAAACACCACAGGCACCACAGACACCACAGACACCACAAACACCACAGACACCACAGACACCACAAACACCACAAACACCACAGACACCACAAACACCACAGACACCACAGACACCACAGACACCACAGACACCACAGACACCACAAACACCACAGACACCACAAACACCACAGACACCACAAACACCACAGACACCACAGACACCACACAAACACCACAGACACCACAGACACCACAGACACCACACACACCACAAACACCACAAACACCACAGACACCACAAACACCACAAACACCACAGACACCACAAACACCACAGACACCACAGACACCACAGACACCACAGACACCACAAACACCACAGACACCACACACACCACAAACACCACAGACACCACAGACACCACAGACACCACAGACACCACAAACACCACAGACACCACAGACACCACACACACCACAAACACCACAGACACCACAGACACCACAGACACCTCACACACCACAAACACCACAAACACCACAGACACCACAGACACCACAAACACCACAGACACCACAAACACCACAGACACCACAGACACCACAAACACCACAGACACCACAGACACCACAAACACCACAAACACCACAAACACCACAAACACCACAGACACCACAGACACCACAAACACCACAAACACCACAGACACCACAAACACCACAAACACCACAGACACCACAAACACCACAAACACCACAGAGACCACAAACACCACAAACACCACAGACACCACAGACACCACAGACACCACAGACACCACAAACACCACAGACACCACAAACACCACAGACACCACAAACACCACAGACACCACAGACACCACAGACACCACAAACACCACAGACACCACAGACACCACAGACAAACACCACAAACACCACAAACACCACAAACACCACAGACACCACAGACACCACAGACACCACAAACACCACAGACACCACACACACCACAAACACCACAGACACCACAAACACCACAAACACCACAAACACCACAGACACCACAAACACCACAGACACCACAGACACCACAAACACCACAGACACCACAGACACCACAGACACCACAGACACCACAAACACCACAGACACCACAAACACCACAGACACCACACACACCACAGACACCACAGACACCACAGACACCACAAACACCACAGACACCACACACACCACAGACACCACAGACACCACAAACACCACAGACACCACAAACACCACAGACACCACAAACACCACAGACACCACAGACACCACAGACACCACAGACACCACACACACCACAGACACCACAGACACCACAGACACCACAAACACCACAAACACCACAGACACCACAGACACCACAGACACCACAGACACCACAAACACCACAGACACCACAGACACCACAGACACCACAGACAGACACCACAGACACCACAAACACCACAGACACCACAGACACCACAAACACCACAGACACCACAGACACCACACACACCACAAACACCACAGACACCACAGACACCACAAACACCACAGACACCACAGACACCACAAACACCACAGACACCACAAACACCACAAACACCACAAACACCACAGACACCACAAACACCACAAACACCACAGACACCACAGACACCACAGACACCACAGACAGACACCACAAACACCACAAACACCACAGACACCACAGACACCACAGACACCACAAACACCACAGACACCACAGACACCACAGACACCACAGACAGACACCACAAACACCACAAACACCACAGACACCACAAACACCACAAACACCACAGACACCACAAACACCACAAACACCACAGACACCACAGACACCACAGACACCACAAACACCACAGACACCACAGACACCACAGACACCACAAACACCACACACACCACAAACACCACAGACACCACAAACACCACAGACACCACAGACACCACAGACACCACAAACACCACAGACACCACAGACACCACAAACACCACAGACACCACACACACCACAAACACCACAGACACCACAGACACCACAGACACCACAAACACCACACACACCACAAACACCACAAACACCACAAACACCATAGACACCACAAACACCACAGACACCACAGACACCACAGACACCACAGACACCACAAACACCACAAACACCACAAACACCACAGACACCACAAACACCACAAACACCACAAACACCACAGACACCACAGACACCACAGACACCACAAACACCACAGACACCACAGACACCACAGACACCACAAACACCACACACACCACAAACACCACAAACACCACAAACACCACAGACACCACAAACACCACAGACACCACACACACCACAAACACCACAAACACCACAGACACCACAGACACCACAGACACCGCAAACACCACAGACACCACAGACACCACAGACACCACAAACACCACAGACACCACAGACACCACAGACACCACAAACACCACACACACCACAAACACCACAAACACCACAGACACCACAAACACCACAAACACCACAAACACCACAGACACCACAGACACCACAGACACCACACACACCACAAACACCACAGACACCACAAACACCACAAACACCACAAACACCACAGACACCACACACACCACACACACCACAGACACCACAGACACCACAAACACCACAGACACCACAAACACCACAGACACCACAGACTGACCCGGCATGCCCCGATCCCCACCACCACCGTACCGCCCCTCCCCGCGTGCAGACGTCACAGACGACCGCAAGCCCCGCCCCTCGGAGCCGGCCAATCAGGGCGCGCCCACCCCGGCCCCAGCCGTGGGCGGAACCGCGGAGCGGAAGTCCCCGCCCCCTCCCGCCGGCGGGGACCAATCGCAGGGCGTCACGGACAGCGGGGTCCTTCAGGGCTCCGCCCCCTGTGCGGCCCCGTCCGAGCGGTTGTCCCCGGCGCTGCCTGATGAGATTCCCTTCTTCAGTGGAAACCCCTCGGTGGAGATCGTGCATGGGGTGATGCACCTCTACAAGACCAGGTGACTCTGTGTGTGTGTGTCTGTGTGTGTGTCTCTGTGTGTGTGTCTGTGTGTGTGTGTGTCTCTGTGTGTGTGTCATTGTGTGTGTGTGTCATTGTGTGTGTGTCATTGTGTGTGTGTGTGTCTGTGTGCACATAGCCTGGCACAAGCGTCGTGGTGACGTCACCGCCACTTAGTGGCGAATGGCGGTTGTTGTTGTTGTTGTGTGTCTGTGTGTGTGTGTCATTGTGTGTGTGTGTCTGTCTGTATGTGTGTGTGTGTCTGTGTGTGTCTGTGTGTGTGTCTGTGTGTGTGTCTGTTTGTGTGTCTCTGTGTGTGTGTCTCTGTGTGTGTGTGTGTCTCTGTGTGTGTGTCTGTGTGTCTGTGTGTGTGTGTGGAGATCGTGCATGGGGTGATGCACCTCTACAAGACCAGGTGACTCTGTGTGTGTCTGTGTGTCTGTGTGTGTGTCTGTGTGTGTGTGTGTCTGTGTGTGTGTCTCTGTGTGTGTGTCTCTGTGTGTGTGTGTCTGTGTGTGTCTGTGTGTGTGCATCTGTGTGTGTGTGTGTGTCTGTGTGTATGTGTGTCTGTGTATGTGTGTCTGTGTGTGGAGATCGTGCATGGGGTGATGCACCTCTACAAGACCAGGTGACTCTGTGTGAGTGTCTGTGTGTGTCTGTGTGTGTGTCTGTGTATGTGTGTGTCTGTGTGTGTGTCTCTGTGTGTGTGTGTCTGTGTGTGTGTGTGTCTGTGTGTGTGTCTCTGTGTGTGTGTCTGTGTGTGTGTGTGTCTGTGTGTGTGTCTCTGTGTGTGTGTCTGTGTGTGTGTCTGTGTGTGTGTCTGTGTGTGTGTGTCTGTGTGTGTGTCTCTGTGTGTGTGTGGAGATCGTGCATGGGGTGATGCACCTCTACAAGACCAGGTGACTCTGTGTGTGTGTGTCTGTGTGTGTGTGTCATTGTGTGTGTGTGTCTGTCTGTGTGTGTCTGTATGTGTGTCTGTGTGTGTGTGTGTCTGTGTGTGTGTCTGTGTGTGTGTGTCTGTGTGTGTGTGTCTGTGTGTGTGTGTGTCTGTGTGTGTCTGTGTGTGTGTGTCTGTGTGTGTGTGTCTGTGTGTGTCTGTGTGTGTGTGTCTGTGTGTGTGTGTCTGTGTGTGTGTGTCTGTGTGTGTGTGTCTGTCTGTGTGTGTGTGTCTGTGTGTGTGTCTGTGTGTGTATGTCTGTGTCTGTGTGTGTCATTGTGTGTGTGTCTGTGTGTGTGCATCTGTGTGTGTGTCTGTGTGTGTGTGTCTGTGTGTGTGTGTATGTGTGTCTGTGTGTGGAGATCGTGCATGGGGTGATGCACCTCTACAAGACCAGGTGACTCTGTGTGTGTGTCTGTGTGTCTGTGTGTGTGTCTGTGTGTCTGTGTGTGTGTCTGTGTATGTGTGTGTCTGTGTGTGTGTGTCTGTGTGTGTGTCTGTGTGTGTGTGTCTGTGTGTGTGTGTCTGTGTGTGTGTGTCTGTGTGTGTGTGTCTGTGTGTGTGTCTGTGTGTGTATGTCTGTGTCTGTGTGTGTCATTGTGTGTGTGTCTGTGTGTGTGCGTCTGTGTGTGTGTGTCTGTGTGTGTGTGTGTATGTGTGTCTGTGTGTGGAGATCGTGCATGGGGTGATGCACCTCTACAAGACCAGGTGACTCTGTGTGTGTGTCTGTGTGTCTGTGTGTGTGTCTGTGTATGTGTGTGTCTGTGTCTGTGTGTGTGTGTGTCTGTGTGTGTGTGTGTGTCTGTGTGTGTGTCTGTGTGTGTGTGTGGAGATCGTGCATGGGGTGATGCACCTCTACAAGACCAGGTGACTCTGTGTGTGTGTGTGTGTCTGTGTGTGTGTGTGTCTCTGTGTGTGTGTGTGTCTCTGTGTGTGTGTGTGTCTGTGTGTGTGTCTATGTGTGTGTGTCTGTGTGTGTCTGAGGTGGGGCCTTACCATCAGCTCCACCAAAACTAAGCACCTGCCTGGGTATTTTGTACCATCGGACACTCCACCCCCACAACTCCCAATCGGTGATGGGGCAGTTGTGGAGAGAGTGGAGAGTTCCCCATACCTGGGCAGTGTGCTTATGACTGGCTCCAGTTTAACAGCAGAGGTCTCACTCCGAATCAGTCGAGTGGCAATATCTTTTCATCGGTTGCGTAACGCTGTGTGGAAGCTACCTGGTCTGTCGCTCCGCACTAAGCTTCAGGTCTTCTCGGCCACGGTCATTCCCTCCCTTCTCTACGCTTGCGAAACGTGGACCCCCCTAATGGAACATCCTCGCCTGTTAGAAACATTTAGGCTGGCCTGCCTACGATCCATCCTAGGTTTAACCAGACTGGATTGTGTGAGGAGCTGACAAATCCTTGAAAGATCTGGGCAAGGTCCCATCGGTGAGCTCCTCCGGCGGGCAAGGCTGCGATGGCTGGGTCATGTAGCCCGCATGCCCAGCCAACGCATGCCGAAACAGCTTTTGTTCGGCCGGATTGAGGGGGCTACGCGGGCGCGGCACGGGATAGAGAAGAGATGGAGTGATGTGGTACAGGAGGACATGGAGCTGAGTGGACTTGCCGATGACTGGTACCAGCGGTGTCAAGATCGACCTCTGTGGAGGAGGCTCGTGAAGGATGCTACTGGGCAGTTGGAGGCAGTCGCCCTCCAACAACAACGGAGGGCAGAGGAGCGACGCTCACAACAATGAACGGAGCGCCGGGTGGCTAAAGTACAGCAGGTTGGCACAGTAGGGGGCACAGGTGGTGCATCAGCCAGTCATCTCAGTCAGTCGACCCGTGGCACCTGGGTCTGCCCCGTGACCTCCTGCCAGCGGGCGTTCGACACTTCACGTGGCCTCAGGGTGCACATAGCCTGGCACAAGCGTCGTGGTGACGTCACTGCCACTTAGTGGCGAATGGCGGTTGTTGTTGTTGTGTGTCTCTGTGTGTGTGTCTCTGTGTGTGTCTCTGTGTGTGTCTCTGTCTGTGTGTGTGTCTGTGTGTGTCTGTGTGTGTGTTTGTGTGTCTGTGTGTGTGTCTGTGTGTGTGTGTCTCTGTGTGTGTGTCTCTGTGTGTGTCTCTGTGTGTGTCTCTGTCTGTGTGTGTGTCTGTCTGTGTGTGTCTGTGTGTGTGTGTCTGTGTGTGTGTGTCTCTGTGTGTGTGTCTTGTGTGTCTGTGTGTGTGTCTGTGTGTGTGTAACTCTGTGTGTGTCTGTGTGTGAGCGATTGTGCAAAACAAACCCCTACCTCCTCGCGGTGCCGGACGGGCAACTCTGTCGTGGACAGTGCTGTGGGGGGAGGTCCAATTTTGATTGGCTCCTCCCCTCATGGCATATGTGTCCACCACAGGGGCTAAACGGGGGCCTCTGGACGGGTGCGAGGGGCTGGTAACCCCTCCACCTTCATTTAAATACCACTAATCCACGAGTTAAACTGAAATATGTAACTAATAAGCTTGTGCCGGAGGCCCCGGGGGGCCAGGCGTCTATGACGTCTCCTGGCCAAACCCCAATTGGCGGAGCCAGGAGATTGAATCTCTACCCTCGGGGCTCCTCCAGAAACAACGACAAACCACTACGGGTGGCCACGTGGAATGTTCGAACGCTCACTGCGGAGGAGGGGCTGCCACTCCTCTGTCAGGAGCTGGACCGGTACCGCCTGGATCTATGTGGCATTCAGGAGGTCTGGTGGACCGGCTCTGGCTCCTGCCACCATGAGGGGTGGACAGTCCTCTACTCGGGGCAGCAGACTGCCAAACAACAGGGTGTGGCTCTTCTTTTGAACAAAAGAATGAACGGGGTGTGGGAGCGTGGCGGTGAGGTGTGGGAAGCTGTAAGCCCCAGGCTACTTTGGGCTCGCCTTCCCATCAACCGGAGGCGAGGAATGGTGGTCGTGGCTACTTATGCCCCCACCGAAGATGAACATCAGTGGAGGGATGCAGGCAAAGCCGATGAGTCATGCCTTCTATGACCTCCTGTCACAGGTGCTGGCTAAAGTGGCCCCTCGGGATAGAGTCATCATGTTGGGTGACTTCAATGCCCGAGTTGGTCATGATACTGGCACCTGGTTTGGAGTGATTGGAGGGCATGGGCCAGATCAGCTCAATAACAACGGTAGGAGGCTGCTAGATTTTTGTGCAGCCCATGGGCTTGTAATTACCAACACGCTGTTCCGGCATCAGCGCATCCACACAACATCATGGATGCATGCCGGGTCCAAGCAAGAACATCTGCTGGACTACATAGTGATGGACCAGCGGATGCGAGCCCATGTCCTTGACACCAGGACCTACCGTGGAGCTGATCTGCCCTCTGACCATCGACTAGTCATCTGTAAGATGCGCCTGCCATTCTTCCACTCCGGTGGTGGGTGTACACCCAGGACCCCATTCCAACCTAAAGTGGCCTGGTCTCAGTTATCTGATGAAAGTTGCAAGCGAGAATTTCATCATCGCTTGCGGCTGGGATTGGCATTGTCCCCGACTCCTCCTGATGTCGAGGGTAAATGGGCGAGGTTTAGGACTGTGGCTCATGCAGCTGCAATGGCTGCTTTGGGTATGCGGTCCAGACCTCCCCAGAGACCCTGGCTGACAGAGGAGGTGTTCAGGATGGTTGAGACTGAGTATCTGTGTCTCTGTGTGTGTCTCTCTGTGTGTGTCTCTGTGTGTGTCTGTGTGTGTCTCTGTGTGTCTCTGTGTGTCTCACTGTGTGTCTCTGTGTGTCTTTGTGTCTCTGTGTCTCTGTGTGTCTCACTGTGTCTCACTGTGTCTCTGTGTGTCTCACCGTGTCTCTGTGTGTCTCACCGTGTCTCTGTGTGTCTCTGTGTGTCTCTGTGTGTCTCACTGTGTCTCACTGTGTGTCTCTGTGTGTCTCACCGTGTCTCACCGTGTCTCTGTGTCTCTGTGTCTCTGTCTCAGCTCCCCCGTGTCCCCGTCCCTGGCTCTGCTCTGTATGCTGTCTCTGTCTCTCTCTGTGTCTCTGTCTCACCGTGTCTCTCTGTGTCTCTGTCTCACCGTGTCTCTCTGTGTCTCTGTCTCACCGTGTCTCTGTGTGTCTCTATGTCTCAGCTCCCCCGTCTCCCCCTCCCTGGCCCTGCTCTGCATGCTGTCTCTGTCTCACCGTGTCTCTGTGTGTCTCTGTGTGTCTCTGTGTCTCTGTGTCTCTGTGTGTCTCTGTGTGTCTCTGTGTCTCTGTCTCAGCTCCCCTGTCTCCCCGTCCCTGGCCCTGCTCTGTATGCTGTCTCTGTCTCACTGTGTCTCTGTGTCTCTGTGTGTCTCTGTGTGTCTCAGCTGCCCCGTGTCCCCATCCCTGGACCTGCTCTGTATGCTGTCTCTGTCTCACTGTGTCTCTGTGTGTCTCACCGTGTCTCTGTGTCTCTGTGTCTCTGTGTGTCTCTGTGTCTCTGTCTCAGCTCCCCTGTCTCCCCGTCTCTGGCCCTGCTCTGTATGCTGTCTCTGTCTCACTGTGTCTCTGTGTCTCTGTGTCTCTGTGTGTGTGTCTCAGCTCCCGCGTGTCTCCCTCACTGGCCCTGCTCTGTATGCTGTCTCTGTCTCACTGTGTCTCTGTGTGTCTCTGTGTGTCTCTGTGTGTCTCACCGTGTCTCTGTGTGTCTCTGTGTGTCTCTGTCTCACCGTGTCTCTGTGTGTCTCTGTCTCTGTGTGTCTCTGTCTCTGTGTGTCTCTGTGTGTCTCAGCTCCCCTGTGTCTCTCTCACTTGCCCTGCTCTGTATGCTGTCTCTGTGTCTCTGTGTGTCTCTGTGTGTCTCTGTCTCACCGTGTCTCTGTGTGTTTTTCAGCTCCCCCATGTCTCCCACCCTGGCCCTGCTCTGTATGCTGTCTCTGTGTGTCTCACTGTGTGTCTCACTGTGTGTCTCACCGTGTCTCTGTGTGTCTCTGTCTCACCGTGTCTCTGTGTGTCTCTGTCTCACCGTGTCTCTGTGTGTCTCTGTGTCTCTGTGTGTCTCTGTCTCACTGTGCCTCTCCGTGTCTCAGCTCCCCTGTGTCCCCGTCACTGGCCCTGCTCTGTATGCTGTCTCTGTGTCTCTGTGTGTCTCACTGTGTCTCTGTCTCACTGTGTGTCTCTGTGTGTCTCAGCTCCCCCATGTCCCCGTCACTGGCCCTGCTCTGTATGCTGTCTCTGTGTCTCTGTGTGTCTCTGTGTGTCTCTGTCTCACTGTGTGTCTCCGTGTCTCAGCTCCCCCGTGTCTCCCTCACTGGCCCTGCTCTGTATGCCGTCTCTGTGTCTCTGTGTGTCTCTGTGTGTCTCTGTCTCACCGTGTCTGTGAGTGTTTTTCAGCTCCCCCATGTCTCCCTCCCTGGCCCTGCTCTGTATGCTGTCTCTGTGTGTCTCACTGTGTGTCTCACCGTGTCTCTGTGTGTCTCTGTGTGTCTCAGCTCCCCCATGTCTCCCTCACTGGCCCTGCTCTGTATGCTGTCTCTGTGTGTCTCACTGTGTGTCTCTGTCTCTGAGTGGCTCTGTCTCTGTGTGTCTCTGTGTGTGTGTCTCAGCTCCCCCATGTCCCCGTCACTGGCCCTGCTCTGTATGCTGTCTCTGTGTCTCTGTGTGTCTCTGTGTGTCTCTGTCTCACCGTGTCTCTGTGTGTCTCTGTCTCACCGTGTCTCTGTGTGTCTCAGCTCCCCCATGTCCCCGTCACTGGCCCTGCTCTGTATGCTGTCTCACCGTGTCTCTGTGTCTCTGTGTGTGTGTGTCTCAGCTCCCCCATGTCCCCGTCACTGGCCCTGCTCTGTATGCTGTCTCTGTGTGTCTCACTGTGTCTCACCGTGTCTCTGTGTGTCTGTGTGTCTCAGCTCCCCCATGTCCCCGTCACTGGCCCTGCTCTGTATGCTGTCTCTGTGTGTCTCACTGTGTGTCTCACCGTGTCTCTGTGTGTCTCAGCTCCCCCATGTCCCCGTCACTGGCCCTGCTCTGTATGCTGTCTCTGTGTGTCTCACTGTGTGTCTCTGTCTCTGAGTGGCTCTGTGTGTCTCTGTGTCTCTGTGTGTCTCTGTCTCACCGTGTCTCTGTGTGTCTCTGTCTCACCCTGTCTCTGTGTCTCTGTGTGTCTCACCGTGTCTCTGTCTCACTGTGTGTCTCCGTGTCTCAGCTCCCCCGTGTCTCCCTCCCTGGCCCTGCTCTGTATGCTGTCTCTGTCTCACTGTGTCTCTGTGTGTCTCACCGTGTCTCTGTGTGTCTCACCGTGTCTCTGTGTGTCTCAGCTCCCCCATGTCCCCGTCACTGGCCCTGCTCTGTATGCTGGCCGTGCCCTCCTCCACGACTTCTCACGAGCTCCTTCGCTTCCTCGGCCCGGCCGTGGACTCCCTGCAGCACGTGAAGGTCGTGCGGGACTCCACTCCCAACTTTTACATGGTGCTGCTACACTTCCTCACTCAGGTACTCACTCAGTCACTCACACACTCACTCACACACTCACACACTCACTCACTCACTCAGTCACTCACACACTCACGTGAAGGTCGTGCGGGACTCCACTCCCAACTTTTACATGGTGCTGCTACACTTCCTCACTCAGGTACTCACTCACACTCACTCACACTCAGTCACTCAGTCACTCACACACTCACGTGAAGGTCGTGCGGGACTCCACTCCCAACTTTTACATGGTGCTGCTACACTTCCTCACTCAGGTACTCACTCACACTCACTCAGTCACTCACTCAGTCACTCACTCACTCACTCAGTCACTCAGTCACTCACTCAGTCACTCACACACTCACACACTCACGTGAAGGTCGTGCGGGACTCCACTCCCAACTTTTACATGGTGCTGCTACACTTCCTCACTCAGGTACTCACTCACACTCACTCAGTCACTCACTCAGGTACTCACTCACTCACTCAGTCACTCAGTCACTCACTCAGTCACTCACTCAGTCACTCACTCAGTCACTCACTCACTCACTCACACACTCACACACTCAGTCACTCAGTCACTCACTCAGTCACTCACTCAGTCACTCAGTCACTCACTCAGTCACTCACACACTCACTCAGTCAGTCACACACACACTCAGTCACTCACTCAGTCACTCACACACTCACACACTCACGTGAAGGTCGTGCGGGACTCCACTCCCAACTTTTACATGGTGCTGCTACACTTCCTCACTCAGGTACTCACTCACAGTCAGTCACTCACTCAGTCACTCACACACTCACTCAGTCACTCAGTCACACACTCACTCATATACTCACTCACACACTCACTCACACACTCACACACTCAGTCACTCACACACTCACTCAGTCAGTCACACACACACTCACACACTCACTCAGTCAGTCAAACACTCACACACTCAGTCACTCACTCACACACTCACTCAGGTACTCACTCACACACTTAGTCACACAAACACTCACTCACTCACACACTCACACACACACTCACACACTCACGTGAAGGTCGTGCGGGACTCCACTCCCAACTTTTACATGGTGCTGCTACACTTCCTCACTCAGGTACTCACTCACTCACTCAGTCACACACACACACTCACACACACTCAGGTACACACACTCAGTCAGTCACTCAGTCACTCAGACACTCACACACACACTCAGTCACTCACACACTCACACAAACACTCACACACTCACTCAGTCACTCACTCAGTCACACACTCAGTCACTCACTCACTCAGACACTCACTCACACACTCACGTGAAGGTCGTGCGGGACTCCACTCCCAACTTTTACATGGTGCTGCTACACTTCCTCACTCAGGTACACACTCACTCTCACTCAGTCACTCACTCAGTCACTCAGTCACTCACTCAGTCACTCAGTCACTCACTCAGTCACTCACTCAGTCACTCAGTCACTCACTCACTCACTCACACACTCACTCAGTCACTCACACATACACTCACTCACACTCACACTCACTCATACACTCACTCAGTCACTCACACACTCACTCAGTCACTCAGTCACTCACTCAGTCACTCACTCACTCACACACTCACGTGAAGGTCGTGCGGGACTCCACTCCCAACTTTTACATGGTGCTGCTACACTTCCTCACTCAGGTACTCACTCACACTCACTCACACTCAGTTACTCACTCAGTCACTCACTCAGTCACTCACTCACTCACTCAGTCACTCACTCACTCACTCACACACTCACACACTCAGTCACTCAGTCACTCACTCAGTCACTCACTCAGTCACTCAGTCACTCACTCAGTCACTCACACACTCACTCAGTCAGTCACACACACACTCACACACTCACTCAGTCAGTCAAACACTCACACACTCAGTCACACACTCAGTCACTCAGTCACTCACACACTCACGTGAAGGTCGTGCGGGACTCCACTCCCAACTTTTACATGGTGCTGCTACACTTCCTCACTCAGGTACACACTCACTCAGTCACTCAGTCACACACTCAGTCACTCACTCACTCACTCAGTCACTCAGTCACTCACTCAGTCACTCACACACTCACTCAGTCAGTCACACACACACTCACACACTCACTCAGTCAGTCAAACACTCACACACTCAGTCACTCACTCACACACTCACTCAGGTACTCACTCACACACTTAGTCACACAAACACTCACTCACTCACACACTCACACACACACTCACACACTCACGTGAAGGTCGTGCGGGACTCCACTCCCAACTTTTACATGGTGCTGCTACACTTCCTCACTCAGGTA